ACCAACAGCGCGCGATCCCCCCCCCCTCGCCGCTGCCCCGCCCCCAACGATAGTCTATTATTTTCGAGTGCACATGAAGTCGTTGTTTTTTGCTTCCGAATGGATGCTTTTAAATTTTTTGTGTTATATCGACCCAGTATGATCCAAAAATTCCGAAAATATTATTGTTAGACCTCGTGCGTCCGTGTGTATATGTATGTGTGTACGTAAGTAACAAAGTTTTTCTTCAATTGTTCGCTACTGACTGGATGGAATTGAATGTTTTTTTTTCGAATGTAGGTATTGTTGAGCCCTATCAAGCGCCATTAATTAAATTTCAATTCATCGACTAGTTTTTTTAATTTCGTGAAAAAAGTAAAACAAAAATTGGGGCATTAAAGTGGTAAAGAGTTTATTGGAGGATTTATCAGCAATTTGTTCGTACTCACGAAATGGCGAATTCAGGGCTACTCTCGGTGTGCCAGCTCGGGGTATATTAGTGCACTCACTGGAAAGTGGTTGCGTTTTTTACGTGAAGGGTTTAAGGCAGTTTTATTTGGGGAGGCAATCAATTCGTCAATTGAGTAATCGAGTGGAAAAATTGTTTTTTGGAGTGGAAGCAAAATATTTGGGGTAATTGGAGATTTTAAAGAATTGTGAAGTGAATTTTTTGGGAATTTTGCAGGAAATAATTTACGATTCCTTCGGATAAAAAATAGTGAGTTAATGTGCTATACCAGTAGTCAATTTTACGAACAAAAGATAGGCCCCAAATCAGCCCCAAACAAGCATATCAGCGAATATAAATGTTTATTAATAATTAAGTATACTCATACAATCATAATTACAATAATAATACGTTATAAATACATCCTCCCTTGTTCATTAATATTTGGCGTGAATCACTTATTTAAAAAACTACAGAAAAAAAACCTACAACAAATGCCACGCGTCCAATCCTCAACTAATCTAATTAATTCCTTGAAAAAAGTACGTAAATTCGCCTATTTCCACTGGTTAATCTCAAATTAATCCGAATTTATCTACAACTTACAGCGACTTGATTGAATATATTTACAACAGTTATGAGAAGGTAATTGTAGGCGGTATAAAAACATTAATGCAACAAAAGACGTGTTTCACGACAATTTGGACAGACAACAGAGGACGAAAACACTTGACAATTTCGAGTCATCTCTCATCTCTACAAAAATAAATATACGAATTATGTCTAGCCCTTTTTCCGCAGCTCCTGACGTCAACCGATACCAAGACGTACGATAAAATTTCACAGAAGAATTTTTTAGAAAATTCTATTGAACTTTCTATTCTATTAGAAGCAGTTCATCTGTACATTTTTATCTTCAACAAAAATGTTCAATGTTTCTATCGGACATTTTTTATGAAATAAAATGTGCAGTAAAGTTGTAGAATTCTTCAACTCTATGAAATTTGATCGTACCTCAACCCCTCTCAAGAGTCGATATTTCAGTTTGATAAATGGTTAACTGCGAATACAAAAATATCTATTTTTATCACTTGACATTAAATGCATGAGCAACATTCAACATTCATTATCATTCCCTGTAACCGATATAATTCGTCCTCTGCCCTTAAACCACGTTTATTATCATCTGCTATAGACCGATCTGCACATTGCCTAGTGTTATCGATCGACATAAGATTTCGAATAGAACCAGAAGAGAATGATTTCAATGATTTCAGTAGTGGATACGTCGAAAAAACTGACGAAATTATTTCCAGAATTCTCCACTTCTCGACTGCTTCGATATTATCACACAGTCGAGATCGAAAAGAAAATGCAAATTAATTGATTCAACTGAAAAAAAATTATCAAATTTACCTTCAAAAGTGGAAGAAAAGAAGAGAATAAAATTCAATAATTTAATACAGTTTTTCTATTTTTCTAAGCCGTTTAATGGCAGTCAATGTTATTATTTTTCCATTTACCATAGTACCAGACTGTTCACAATCCACTCCTCACTTACTTCTCCCAATAGGTAAATTACCTCCAACACCAGCCTTCACATGAATCGACTGTCGGCTATTTCTACTTCTGCTGGCAACAGTTGTTCCATCGACAGATTTACGATTTCGATTTTTACTCAAACTCGATTCTCCTTCCTCCCTATACTCTGAACTTTTCCAACTAATCGGTCTACTAGTCTTCACTGGGCTCTTCCCACCATTATCCATTTCATAAGTTTTTCTAGCAAGTTGTGGGGTGTAATACAAGCTGTATCTATTATTCTTCACAGGCTTCTGTTCATCCTCTCTCAATTCATCAGTGGAACTGCATTTTCTCCCATTGGGAACAGTACGATTCATCCTCCCATTATCGAGTTCTTGAAGTCTCTTGGAGTACTGTGGAGCATAACTAAATCGTTTTCTAACTTTCTCACTATTCCCACCGCTCTTCTTCTCCCTCAACTTAACACTTTCATTCGTCCCAGGCTTCTTCTCATTTCTCTCAAGTCCTCTCGAGTAGTTCTGTCCATTAATTTGCACAGGAATTTGGGACAGTCTCGTTAATTGACTAACATTAGACCTCGGAGTTTTTGGAATTTTCGATTCTCCAGACTGTGGAATCCTAATCCCCCTATCAAACCCAGCATTCTCAAAGCTCTCTAAAAACTCCAGACTCTGATTCGAGCTGAAGTGCTGCTCCCTACCGACATTACCAAATTGTATATTAACAAAACTGTCCGATGTTTCGATATTATTATCAGAACCAGCACTCAGACAATCTGTGGACAGTGACAAACGATCAATCGACGATTGTCTCAGTGTACTCTTAATATTTTTAGTTGCACCATTGGTATCGTATAAATCCCTACGCTGTGCCCTACCTCTAATATTGCACTTCACTGGTTTAAGGGTATCATTACCGCGATAATTACGACGTACAGGTGTCGTTGATATACTGGAATGAATATCAGAGAGTGAATTACCATTTCTCTGATTATTGGAATGTAAATTTGACGATTTATCACTCTGGCACTGGCCATTGTTATTTTTCATCGCTGAATTAGTCTCTGGAATACTGTTTATTGACGTGACAATTGTTGATGATTTATTGCACATATCGTTGGTAATGTTCATGTTGTCCATGAGATTGTGGAGGGATGAGGTCAATGCACGTATGTCCTGAAGGCAATCGGAGCTCAGGGATATGGGCTCGTCGTTGCCATTCCCATTGATGTGATCGGTCTCGTCGGTGGCTCTCTTTGGGGTTGATGGTGTGGTAAACGTGGCATCGAACCACCTGCTCTTAGGTGTTGTATTGATCTCAGGTGTTTCGTCATTTTTAGAGGAACGTTGTTTCTTGTAGTCAAACTCGAATGTCGCCACTCTCATCGGCTTACACTGCTTATCCCAGTGTTGCTCCGACGATTCGAGGGATGATTTGCCTCTCCCTGGGGCTTGCTCGCCTCCTAGAAAGCTCTGCAGATGTACAGAGGAGGGAGAGAAAAACAAAAAGAAAAGAAAAGCCTTGCTACAGATACGAACAGTCCAGTACAAGAAGCTTTGCTGGTGAATTTTTTATGTGATATGTGTGGAAAAATTTCATTAGAAAAATTGACGAATTCATTGGGAAATTCTATGGGATTTCTATTGAAAATTCTATTTGTTTTTGGCCCATTTTTTGTTAAATTTCAACTTCACTAAAAGAAAAGAAAAATGAAGGGGTAAAAAATTGGAAAATTCATACCGAGGAATTCGTATAAAAAATATCTCATTAGAAAAACTTGTATAGAAAAATTAAATTCTGCTGATTTTTTCTGCCAAATAGTTTCTCTTTGACATTTTCTATTACAAAACAAATCGACGAAACAATAATTATATTTTGAATAGAAGTTCAATAAAAAACCAATAGAATTTTCTAACGATTTCACTAGATTTGTCTATAAAATTTGGGTGAAACTCGATAGTGGGATGATTTTTAGGGGAAATGTAATTGTTCAATTGTCGTTGAGGAAATTGTGGGAAGAAATGATTGTGGAAATTGTTCAGTCGTGAAGTGGCAAATGTGAAAGAACAGATTTTTTTTTCAATTTATGCACATGAAAATTATTGAAAAAATCATTTTATGAAAAAACATTTGTTTTCTTCCAATTTCAAGTTAAAACGAGTATTTCTAATAATTAAATGGTAATAATCTTCATAATTATTGGCTCTAATTATTGAAATACCACAATAACAATTTTTTCCTTATATTTAACAGTTTCCGTTTCACTCAATAGGAAACAAAAAAAAATTAATGTGAATAATGGACATGTTCTGCTTAATTCTGCTATATTTTACCACTTCACCACTAACTTTATACCCAACAGAATAATTGTGACAGTGCTGAATAAACGAAGCCCACGATTTATCCAGAAAATTAACGGAATGTAATGTTCAACTAGACTGTGCACATTGATCGATGAAATGCCAAAAGCCATGCACGTCTAATATGCTGCATCAATTTTCTCCAATGACATTGACGATGTGGAACGAGGAAATAAAGCATTTAACATTAGTTCTACGCTCTACAAGAACTCTGAGCACCATTACAAAAAATATTTACTTCGTCATTGAAATATTACTCCATCTATATTTCACAAGCAAAATGAAAATACCTAGGACGAAATAAAAGGTTATCAAACTTCAGGCCTACATTTGATCTCCTCTTTCCACACAACTACAGATGATATGCAAATGCGCGATGAATAAATTCAATGAATTATAATTTACCACGAGCCATGGATGATCAAGCACATCCTCAGCACTGAATCTCAACTCCGGCTGTGCCTGCAGCATATTCGAGATGAGTTGCTTAGCAGAATCAGATATGGGGTCCCAATAAGGTGGTGTAAACTCATACTGTCCACTCAATATCCTCTCGAATAATTCCTCCTGGTCGTTGTCAAGAGAAACGAACGGGGGAAATCCGCACAGGAGTATGTAGAGTATCACTCCAGCTGCCCATACATCAATCTGAAAATTCGAGATTACTTAGTTCGTGAGTTGAATGTTCAATTAAGGACATTGGAGTGGGAAATAGTAAAGTTTAACTAGTGAATGGATAAATGTACTTATTAGATGGACAAAAATGAAATGTCGAAGGTCTTGTTTGAAAAATGAGCTGCGAAAGATGAAATTTCCATTAATTTTCCCATCAAATTATGAATGTCTTTCTTGTGATTTTCAACTCGCGTTTTTTTCCATTCAAACAAGATTTGTTCAAGAAAATATTTTTCTCCATCCAACCACCCCATCCCCATCCTCACCTTGAGTCCATACCCAGTCTCCGCCAGAATCTCAGGCGCGACATACGTGGGTGTCCCACACACCGTGTACAATGGCTCCCTGACCACCTGCGCCAGCCCAAAGTCCCCCAGCTTCAGACACCTAACATGGCTCCCCTCCATCTCCACCAGCAGATTCTCGGGCTTGACATCCCTGTGCACAATATAATGCGAATGCAGATACGCCAGTGCCGAGGTCAAATGCCCAATCATGACACTGGCCTCAGCCTCAGTGAACTTGGTGACAGCAGCAATGGCATCGAACAGATCGCCCCCCTTCACAAGCTCCATGACCAGAAAAAGCTGATCCGAGGTCTCCTGCTCCCCAATCAAACTGATGATATTAGGATGACAGACTTGTCGAAGAATAGCCACTTCGCTCGCCAGCATGGTCTCCTTCCCCTGGCACTTGTGCTTGTCCACAATCTTCATGGCGTACTCCGCCCCCGACTGTTTATGCACGCAATGTCTGACAACAGCGAAGTTCCCGTCCCCAATGACGTGCCCCACAGAGTAATGCATCCTCAAGGGCTGAGGCAGCATGAGCGAGGCTGGACTGGGGGTCCTCACCTGCATAGATCGACATCACTCATTACTTTAGTAATATTATGAGAAGTTGAACCTTACAATAATTTACATTTACTTATAATGATTAAAAAATTTGAAAAATAATATGATTATGCCGATGTCTGCTCACCTGAGGGGCGCTGAAGTTCCTCTTGCCAGTCTTCCTAGGCATCACTGGCATGGGCCCCCCCTGTCTCTTGGACACCGAGGGGCCCCTCCTGAAGCTCTGGACGGATTTCGACTCCTCCGGGTCGAGCTCGAAGTCCTCCTGAGTGGACTTCTCGGTGCCATAGGCAACGAACACCTCCTCGCTCTCGAAGAACTGGTCCAGAGTGATGACAAGCTTCCCAGAGAGTGTGTAGACCCTCCTCACAGCCCCACAATCGAGCTTAACTACCTCGGTTATGGCCTCCAGGACGTGCTCGAGACTGGCAGCATTTCTTTTGTTGAGGAGCAGACGCAGGACTCTTCGGGGTTTAGTCCCGTGACGAATTAGTGTTATTATTCTGGCCTTGACGCAGCTTGGAATGGCGTTTATCTGCCTGCCAGTGCCAGCTGGTGACTGTGGCAGACCGGAGAGTGAACTTCCTCGTCGGACTTTGGAGGAGGAGTAGTCGACCTTCTTGAAGAGTTCACCCTGGCCTGATACCACGTAGCACTTGCCGTCCTCGAGGTCGGTTATGCTCTGGACTTTGCGACCGTCCATCGAGTAGATGCAGCGGACACCACTGGGGAGGGTCACGCTGGACACCAGGGCACGGGTCAGGTCGGTCGCCAGACTGTCGAAGCTTCGATAACGCTCAGGGGTCACCGCCATCACCACTCCTGTGTAGAATTTGTCACCGTTTCGGAAGAAACGAACTCGCTTTGCTTTTTTTGTAGGCGGTGTGCGGAGGCTCGAGAGGGAGGCTTTCGACGCAATGTCGAGGAGGCGGTCGTCCAGGGAGGTCACCGTTGGGGAGTTTATGTCGCGGCTCGAGAGGTTACTGTCTCCCGACGTGGACGTCCGCCGGCTCAGGGGCTCTTCCATTTTTCTGGACAGGGGGAGCTCACGTAATTTTTTGTTTGCGGTGGGAATGTTTGTTGGGAATTTCGAAGTGAAGTGGAGAAATTTAATAGAGAATTCTGGTGGAGTGCTAGGGAACTTGACGTTAGTTTTTGGATTATTCTGGTGAAAAATTCCGCAACTCAATTTTTATTTATTGCTGTACATTCCTATTCCTATAGAAAATGTCGCCACGAAAAAAAATTTACAGAAAGATTAAATACTACTGACTTTTTCCTATGAAATAGTTTCTTCTGGCATTTCCTATTTTAAAAAATGCGCAGTAAAACTAGAATTCTCCGACAGAATTGGCTAAAAACCAAGAGAATTTTCTATCAAATTCGATAGGCATTTTCTACGAAATTTTTCATCGATTCATGTAAAAAACAAGAACAGTTTCTGTTGGAAATAATACGAAATCTTTTCTATACAGAGTCAACTTTCACTTGATTTTTTTTTCCAAATCCATTTATTACGAAGATAATTGCATATTCCATAAAGTATAAAAAATTGATTTATCATCCCATCAAATATAATATTTATCGATTTTGCATTTATCTTGAAAATAAATCATTTCAGGACAGAATGTCAAAGACCTTTCCTGTAGCTAATCAACTGTTCAAGAAAAAATGTTTCTCCCAATTTTTCCTCCAACTATTTTAATAGCGAAGATAATTCCAACTTCAACAAGGTGTGAAAAACCAACTTTCTTTCTCAATAAAAAATTCCACTCACTCCAGGCACTAAAGAGAGTACTCAGCTTATCCATGAATTTTTAAAATTCAATCAGAAAAACAATACTATTCAATTGCTAAAGTGATCGCACTGCTGTCACATTTTCTGTTGTCTCTCGACTCGACCAAAAACTAATAGAATTTTCACTAGGAGTTCAATAGAAATCCAATAGAATTTTCTATGGAGAATTCACTGCCACTTGAATTTTCTTCCAAATTCATTTATTACGAAGATAATTGAATATTCCACAAATTATGAAAAATTGATTTATCATCCCATCAAATATAAAACAACGCATTTTAAGAGAGAATATCAAAGATCTTTCCTGCAGCTAATCAACTGTTCAACAAAAAATGTTTCTCGCAATTTTTCCTCAAACTAATTCATCACGAAGATAATCTCAACTTCAACAAGGTGTGAAAAACCAACTTTCTTTCTCAATAAAAAATTCCACTTACTCCAGGCACCAAAGAGAGTACTCAGCTCATCCATGAATTTTTAAAAGCCAATTATAAAAACAGTACAACCCAATTGTCAAAGTGATAACACTGCTGTCACATTATCTGTTGTCTATCGCCTCAGCCTCATATCCTCATCAGAGCTATACAACCAACTCTGACTAATTCGCGTGTAATTTATACAGATTAAGAACGAAAAAAACGACAACTCCCAGACTGTGACTTACCCCGAGACTCGGTGAATTTTTCGGAGCACAAAACTTATTCACTTCCCCGGATGGTGTCTTGAATGATGATGGATGAGTGCCACATTTAGATACTAGGTAATATGAGGACAGCACGAGAATTTAAAAGAGTCCAGGTTTTTTGTGAAAAACACAGGAGTTGTGGTGTGAAAAGAAACGCGAACGCCGAAGCGACAGCTTACTCCAATCTGTTGGAGGTTAGTGGATGGAAATGTCAATGTTGAAGAAACTGTATAGCAATGGGGGGACACTTGGCAGCTCCCACCACTTCTTCTTGTCTCCTACGACAGCTGGGGCTTGTTCGGTTAGAGGGTGAAGGTGTCGCCTGGTCAACGGATCTCTCTTTTTTAGAGAGAGAGGGCCAACGGATCTCTCTCTCTCTAAAAAAAGGAGATGTAGAGTAGAGAGATCCGTCGACTAGCGACACCTTCACCCTCTAACCGAACAGGCCCCAGTGGGTAAGATAGGGAACGAGAACTCTATGCATTATAACTCTGTCTCTGCCACTGAAAGGAGGGTTTGGCGTTCGTTCCGTCTATTTTCAGTAAAAAAAGGTTGTAATCCGGGANATGCATTACAACTCTGTCTCTGCCACTGAAAGGAGGGTTTGGCGTTCGTTCCGTCTATTTTCAGTAAAAAAAGGTTGTAATCCGGGAAAATAATTAATAATAATGCCATAATCAGTTAATATTGATGGCGAGGGATGATTTCATCAAGAAATCAGACTTTATTATCGCTTATTATGAAGCCTGAAAGTCTAAAAAGGGCAATGCCAAAATTTGCCAGTGCGCAACTTCTCCGCGCAGATTCATCATGGCGGCCGGCTACTGGCAGAGAATGGGCGGCTTGGCGTTCGTGCGCAGATTTTCGGTGAGAAAAGGGGTAAAACCGGGAAAGTGAATACTAATCAAGCAATAATCAGTTGATATTGATGGCGAGGAATGATTTTATCAAGAAATCAGACTTTATTATCGCTTATTATGAAGCCTATAGACGTCTAAAAAGTACAATGCCAAATTTTACCACTGCGCAACTTCTCCACGCACATTCATCATGGCGGCCGGCTACGGGCAGAGAATGGATGCTTTGGCGTTCCTCCGCGAATTTTCGGTGAGAAAAGGGATAAAACCGGGAAAATGAATACTAATCATGCAATAATCAGTTAATATTGCTGGCGAGGAGTGATTTTATTAAGAAATTGGACTTTATTGGACTACATATTACAAAATCTAGACATCTAACGAGTCAACGCCAATATCGCCAGTGCGCAACTTCTCTACGCACATCCATCATGGCGACCGGCCATTGGTACTGAACGGGGGCTTTGGCGCGTTTGCTCAATGAATTCTAATGGACAAAGAGAATGAAACTCTGGAATGGAACATGGACAATTGAACAATCAGTTGACAATGATGGAGAGTAACGATTTTATGGTGAACTTTGGTTTTATTGTGATGAATTAAGAGTGCTATTGGACAAAAACAACATTTCTATGTGATCGACATATTTGTGACGTCGCAAGATGACGCCTGCTGTGTAATTCTGGACAAAGTGACAATGTTTGGTGTTTTAATGAGTCAATTGACTTCCTAATTAATTAAAAATTCAATTCAAAAGTGAAATGGTTATGGAATGGAGGACTCAGTGGATTTTATCAGTAAATTTGTGGTTATGAAAAGTTTAAAAGTAATTACGGGAGTTCCGTTATTGCCGATGTGTTGATAAAATACGCGAGATGGGAGTCGGTGTGTTATTAAATCGGTGGCGAGTGTTTTTTTTGTTCGGGTAAATATTCGGAGTATTTTATTTAAATTTGAGAAATCGCGAGTGAAGTGTGGAAAAGTGATTGAGAAGAAAGTGAAAAGCAGAATTGTGGGAGTAGGAGTGTAGTATATCCCAAGCTGCCGGGTGTTTCAACGACCGGTGAGTCCCTTAAAATATTAATTTCTTTATTCTTTGATTGTTGATGTCGCTGGTTGATAACTTTGAGACTAGGGGAGAGTAAAATATTAAAACACAGAAGAGATCCGATCAATTAGCCCCTCATGTATAGATATTCCAAATTTTTATTTTTTTCCTCATTGAAGTAGTTTTGGAGAATATTGCGAGCTAATAAAAAACATTTTATAGTTAGTACTTTCTTTAAAATAAATTTTTGAAAAATCAGCCCTGAAAAAAAAGGCGTTATCCCCCCTATTTTATCATTTCCAAAATATTTTATCACCAATCGATAGCAAATTGTTTGAAGATTTTTGCGAGTTAAGAAAAAATCGTCAATGCACTCCTATTATTGTGTAAATTAACAATTCCAATTTCAACTGAAAACCAGAGTTGATGACCAGAGTTTGTAGC